AGAAATTCTTAAATAGACATCTTAATGGTATTAAGACTTTATTATATATCTTAATCATTTAGACATATTCAGACTCATTAAGTGGGTTGTAAAATAAGAAAAACAAACACACTTAATGATTATGATTTGAATGATTAAGATTCAGATCTTGAAAATAAACAAACTTAATGACTAAGATTTAAATGATTGAGATAATTAAGTGTAAACAAATGAGACTTTATTTCGTAATTATATATATACAAAGATTATTGAAGGTAAGGATAAGAATAACTTCATTTTAATGGTAAAGATAAAATCAACTAATAAATGAAAGTTGGGGGATATTTTTAACCTTTTTTCCCTTTAAAGTATATATATTTAAAGAAAAAAAAATCAAAAATATCTCTCAATTTTCATTTATTGGTTGACTTTATCGTTAAGTTTTTTTTTTGAAAAAAATTAAAGATGGACCAAGGTCCATTTTATTAGAATAAAGTTGTACAGAATAGGCTAAATATGTCAAGCCCAAACTGGAAACAATGACTTTATCCTTAAGTTATTCTTACCCTTCCCGTTAATAAACTTATCATTCATACCCCTCCTTGGCCTTGGACGGAAATCCTCAAATCAGCCAAAATTAACCTAATTTCTTAAAAATGACTCATTCCTATTTTAAATCCATGTCCGACCCATCTATCTATCTTAACCCAACACAAATTTGGATGTGGATCACTCCAGCTAATTTGTTGGAATCTCAGCTTAAATCTTGATTTTGAACCAAATATCAAAATTCCCAGTTCATGAAAGCAAAAATCTCTGTAAAAATTCACACTTCATGCTCATTCCATACCTTTATTATCAAGAATCTTGAGACCCCATCACACCAACCATCACTATTTTTCACCAATTCCACCATCGTAATCGTATAGGGTGGTATAAAAGAGATTGTGGGGGGTGAGATGGATTGGGATGAAATAATAAAAGTGACAGGTATTTCAGTAGAAAATGGTAATGACTTTTGAAGATTTCATGGAACAATTGTGATGATACAACTTTTATATGGTGGGTACCATGTGATTACCAAAGAGACACTCAATGTGGAAATGAATCAAATTGTGTTCTGCTTGTATAGAGAATAGGGATCTTCTTGATCTATTTATTTTTGCACTGGTGGCTTATGTTTGCGGAAATTTAGTTATTTTTTTCCTTTATGTTGTTCTTGAATCTATAATCCAACCATGTATTTGTTTATGAAAACATTGTAAATTATTATAGGTGTTTTTGGTGTGGTGGTGAAACTACATGGTAAAAACATGAAAAATAGAGAGATTGAGTTCTTGAGCTTTTGATTTAGAGATGGAGGTGAAGTACATTTGAGTTAAGTTAGTTGGGTCAGGTTTGGGTTTGGGTTATATTAGGATGGTGGATTATTTTTTAAGAAATCGGGTCAATTTTGGTTGATTTGAGGATTTTCGTCCAAGTAAGGGTGCACATGATAAGTTTATTAACGGTAAAGGTAAGAATAACTTCATTTTAATGGTAAGGATAAAATCAATCAATAAATGAAAGTTGATGGGGTATTTTTTACCTTTTTCCCTACTTTAAAAGCACAAATTATTTAATTTCCTACTCTTTAAACATTGAGTTCACACAAGATAAAATAGTCATTTAATTACGCTTCTACTCCCTCCGTCCAATAATAATTGTCCACTATACTAGAAATAGTTGTCCAACAATACTTGTGCAGTTTAGAAAATCAAGAGATAATCTACCTTTTGTGTCTATCTTACTCTTGCTATAAAATACTATTTATCATTTAACACATTTCTCAAAACATTAAATTTAATAAAGTCAAATGATAAAATAGTAATATCACCCGTATTATTTATTGTTTCTTAAGGGATGTGTCTAATAAATAGTGGACAAATATTGTTGACTAGAAGGAGTATTTACTAGTATATTTGACTGTCAATAATTTACTCCCTCTGTCCAACAATACATGTCCACTATTGACTTTGCACACTTCTTAAGAAACTCTAAATACAAGGATAATTTTACTATATCACCATTTGAATATAATAAATATAATGTCTTGAAAAATGTAATAGAGAAATGACTATAACTAGGTAAACTCTATGAATCCTATAAGAAGAGAGGTTGTTCGGGACAGGGAGAACCTTTTCGGCAATACAAATTTCATATCCAAAATGCTCGGAAGGATAATGATACGGGTAAATTAGGAACTAAGTGTAAAATTATCCATTGATTTCATAAAGTGGACAAATATTGGTGGACATCCCAAAATAGTATAGTGGACAACTATTATTGGACGGAGGAGTAATTTATAAGTAAAATCAAGACGTGTATCTTTGACCTTATTACAAATGCAATTGTATTATTTTTTCGATAAAAATAATACTTCCTCTGTCCCAATTTATGTGACTTGTTTTCCTTTTTAGTCAGTCCCAAAAAGAATGACACATTTCTATATTAAGTAACAATTTAACTATAAAATGTTTATTTTACCCTTAATGAAATGATTTACAGTCACACAAATTTCTATCATTCATTTTGGAACACAAGTTTTAAAAGTCTTTCTTTCTTTCTTAAACTCTGTGCCGAATCAAACTTTCTCACATAAAATGGGACGGAGGGAGTAATACATAATAAAAAATATTACATTTAATTTGAAATGGTATTCAATACTCTGAAATTGTCAAACGAAATAGGTTGTTCTAAAACGGAATTAGTTGATCTCATAAGTTGCTCGGCAAATAAAAAAATATTTCCTTGGAACAAAAGTCATCCTTGATTAAAAAATTAAGTATGTATATTCTCAATTAGAATAATAGGGGCCTTATAGTAAATAATAATAAAATCATCTGATATCATTTTTTTGGATGAAAAATGAGTACTTGTCACAAGAGGTATAAGCCACAAAATTCAAGAAGACTTTTAGGGAGCTGGATAAATAAATTATTCATGTACATTAATTTTATATCATTTGATTTGTAAATAAAATACAAGCTATATATATATATATATATAT